CTGGCATCTCCCCGCCATGCTCAGGCAGCACCACACCTCTGCTGAAGTCTGGAGTCAGGGAGTCTAGGCAGTGAGTCACTTGCCTAGTAAGCAAGTCTGGTGTCCCTTGGCCATGCCTGAAGGGATAGAGTTGGCAGAGGGCCAGGATTGGGAGAGGCTGGGGGATGCGCCCGGCTATACTGATGTGCCTGGTCTGGTAGTGGCCCCTGGCCAGGCTCTCCTCCTGGGTTCACACTGAGTCAGTACAGAGGGGACTCAATGTTAGCAGCTGCTCTATGGGCACTTGAAGCTCCTGGCTGTGGCTGGGGTTCTAGATTATTCCTCTTCTTCTCTTGGAGGCACAGTGGTACAGGGATGAAATGTTTCCAATGTCAAGTTGTGCCCCTAAAGGCTGCAGTGGTGAGAGCATGGGCTTTTCGACTTTTCCTCTGGTGCAGGGTCATCCCCTAACTCATCTTTACCCTTAGGCTTTACCATTCTTATCTCAGGACAGTTGGCAGAACTGACTGAGTCCCGGGAACATTGATGATGCTTTCTGGGGAATTACAGACTTTGAGGCTGTCAGAGGTAGAGAAATGGAGACCTTGAGAGGATTTCTCAGAGGTGGCACTAGGACCGGACATCCTGGGTCCATGTCTATTGCTGCTTTCTTCTTGCCTTGCTATGGCTCAAGGGTAGTTTTCCTTTAGGTAAAAGAGACATTGACACTGTGATGTGTTCCCCTCCCTCTCTCCCTCCTTTCCCCTCTCCCTCCCTCCTTCCCTCCCTTCCTTCTTCTCTGTTTCTCTCTTCCTCTCCCCTTCCTTCCCTCCCTCCCTGTTCCTATAGAAGACAGGTTCCCATATAAAGAGAATCATCACTCTTGCACTCAGCCTCAACGGATACCACCTCATAGCTGATCTTCCCTCTGTCACCCTGCTCATTCCCACCTTTTATTATTTTGAAGGAAATCACCAACACCCTATCAACTCATATGTAAATATTTCGGTGTATACCTTTAAAACTCAAGGTACAACCTTTTGGACACAAGCACAGCTATGTGCTGAGTCACATCGGAGAGCCAGGCATGTGCCTGACGCAGCAAAGTACTCTAGAGACTAAAGCACAGACTGAAACGGCCCTTCAAGAAGCTACAGCGGTAGAAAACAAAAAGACAGGGAGGAGACATTAGACCCAACCTACAGAAGCAGCTGCCCCAGGAGCATTTGTACTTCTCACCCCAGAAAACAAATGAGAAATAAGAAGGAATGTTTACAACTTAGGAAACCATGATGGGGAGAAAACAAATCATAGTTGAAGGGTCAGGAGACAGAACGGCATAGCTCAGAAAGAAAAGAAGAGCAAAGAATATGAAAAAATTAGATGAGCAAAGAGAAGGAAATTGAACCGACTTAGAGCATGAAGGGGCTTGCCACTAAGACTGATGACCTGAGTTTGATTCCCCCATACCAACATGGAAGGAGAGAACTGATTCCTGCAGCAGACCTTCACCTGCTATAGCAAGAGTTTCTCCACACACACACACACACACACACACACACACACACACACACACACACACACACAGATTTTTTTTTTTTTTTTTTTAAGGCTGGAGAACTAGTCCATAAAGCCCATTACTAAATTAATAGGCAGCGATAGAGCCTCTGCGACACGAGGCCCAGCTGTCAGAAGTACCAAGGGCAGGATTTGAAAAGTTGTAGCTCAGTTTTGGGCTGTGACATGAGAGCCCACTGCCACTCGGTCCTCTGCAGTGAGCACTGTGCCCTTTCTACTCTGGTGAACTGAGGTCCTCTGAAACAGAGAAACTGAGTAAATTTCTCCTCCCTTAGGTTGCTTCTTTCAGGCCTCTTGGCCTCAGGGTGTCAAAGTAACTGGCGTGGCCATTGCAGGCAGAATCTTGAAGTGATCTCTTCTTCTGTGGCCTGACCCCACATTGCATCAAGATATGTTGAGGAACCCCTGACTGAGGCATTACTCTTCTGACTCTGCTCTGCTCTGCGTGATCATACCCCAGTATGATCATTAACCGGGGGAAGCAATAGTCAGAGAAAATGCACAGGTGCACCTCAGTCAGTAACTGGCCTGGCAGGGGGTAGTTCTTGCCAAGAGCCTGGCCCTGTATGTGGTTCCTGGAGCAGGATATCATGGATTATAGAAGAGAATGAGGTTTTTACCCTCCGAAGTCAGATTACATGACATTCTAAGGAAAACATGATGGACACCTACATGCCCCGGGAGGGAGTATTTAGACATGTGAACCACAGACTTGTGTGCCGTTGGTTTTGGCTGCTGAGGAAGAAGCAGCAACGGGGTAGCAGAGAACACGAATTAGTTGGCCGTAGCATCGAGGGACTGAGTTAAGCCTTCGAGATGGCATTTCTTTCTCATCCCTGGATCACCTGGCACAGAGGTTGGAGAACAAGGAGGCTATGGGGTGAGAGGTATGGGTTCTGCTCCTGTCCCTACCCCTCATCAACCGACACAACCGACCTAATCTTTTCACAGCTCTTTTGAATGTATGAAAGTGGGAAAGCCATCCCCCTACATCTTAGAGATGACTGAAGGACTCCGAAAGATGATGTCAGTTACACAGCACAAGATCTATTTATGTTTATAGCAGGAACTTACTACAGTAGAGTAGTATTGAGCTATGGTGTGACAAACCTTGAAAACATTAAGTGAAATAAGGTAGATGTCATACTATATGTCATTCTGTTTTATGAAGTGTTCACAATGTGTAAGTCGGAAACAGATTGGTGATTTCTCATGCCTGGGAGGAGAAGCGAATAGGGAATATTTGCCTAGTGGTTACAGGACTTCCTTTGGGTGCGATGAAAATGTCCTGGAACAGATAGAGGTAGGTGCAGCTTGTGCACTGCTGTAGATGAGCTGTACTCTGCTGGATGGTCGGTTGGTCGTACAGTGCTTGATTTTATGTTTCATACTTCATTTCAACTAACAAGTGTCCAACAGCATGTGAAGTGTTCAAGTGCTGGTGCTGGGTAGACTAGTACAGAACACGATGGCCTGCTGCTGAGCTAGCAGTCGGTTTCAGATTACAGCCCCTCTTTGTTGATGAGGGTAGGACCCTGGGTCATGGAGTCCAAAAAGGGCAAGTGTGTGAGGTCAGCTGAACATGAGGTGGGTGGGATGGTGGCGGAACTGACCTGTAGCTCTCTGTACTACGCCACGAAGATACACAGTAGTGGCTGATTCTCACCCCCTCAGTCCTGCATCTCGTTTAAGCCCTCAGACAGACTAATATGAAATGCCGTCTCTCCTTGTTGCACCCTATCCCAGCCACCTAGGCCTTTGGGTGACTGGACCTCACCCCGTGTATTTTCAGGGAGGCTCTCTCTGAATTTCTGGTATATGAGCTGCTCTGAGTACAGTTGATGGCTGGTGGCCTCCTGAATGGGAATCGGGAATTTCCTTAGTATCACTTGCCTGGTTATTTGAATGTCTGCTTTCCTGTTGTTTCTGCCTCTGAAGATTCTGGAATGTATTGTTTGTTTGTTTGTTTGCCACTAAATATGTAGACAAAGGCTTTTTTTCTTCTGTTATGTCTGCTCAAGCTCCTGGGTGGGGAAGCCAGGGTGGGGAGGGATGTGTCTAGAGTAGAGAGGCTGTGGAGGAGGAGGCTTTCTTTGTCCATTAGGACTAGGGTGGGGTTGTTTTCTTTCCATCCTCCAGCTCTGCAGCTGCTACTGGTAATCCCTGCACACTGCTGCTTTTCTGAGAAGCACGTAGCACCTGGAGCTCTTTGGCCTACATCCCTTCAACATATGACAGTTCTGTGGATGGAGAAGAGGGGTGTGTCTGTGTCTGGAAGCACCCCCTCCCATCCTTAAAGTTGACCCAAGTACTTCCATCCTAGGCTCTGTTTTTTAGCTGTGGAGGGGTCTTTGCTAGCGGGGTCTGTAATGTGAGTAAGACATCTTCATATAGCCTCCTTCAGAGGCCCTGAAGTACCTCGAGGATAATGGGAAACTTCTAAGTCAGCTTGGTACTGGGCTGAGAGTTAACTTGTATCATTTTTACTCTTTTCCTGGGCCTACTTGAATCCCTTTTGAAATTTAGTTGCTACACTGTCTCCAGCAGGTTTCATCCTCAGGGTGAAGAGGGAGCCTTTTTTTTTTTTTTTTTTTTTCTCTCTCTCTCTCTGAACTGGCACATACACAGATTCAGGCAAGGCTGTGTCTTATTGAAGAGTCCATGCTCACACAACCATCCCACTTGGGACAAGCAGGCTTGTCTTGCACTTACTGGGACAGCTTCCTAGTCCCCCGCTCAGCAGCGTTTACAATATGGCACTTTAGTCAGCTAGGTTTGTGGTGATTTTTAAGCTAGATTGTCTCCCACTAGGGACCACCATATGGGTGAGGTGGCTACTTAACTCCCATCCTAGGAGAGCCAGGCTGCCTCCCATACTGCAGTGCTTTGGAGTCAATCCCGCACCAGCTCCTCTCCCCTGAGCATGCATGCATCTCCAGTTCCTGGGACCTGTGAGTGGGTATAACTTGGGTGTTCTTTGGTGCAGGGAGTCCAGGTGGTTGCTCCTCGGAGGGGTCTGTGTGACTCACAGCTCTTCCATCACCCTGCAGCAGGGGAGCAGGCTCCAAAGTCAGGCTGGGATCCAGCCCTGAATTCTGACACAAAAATGTCAGTACAGGCCAAGTACCCCAATCTTAAATGTGTGGGACCAGAAGAGTTCCAGGATTTGGGTCCTTTTAGGTTTGGAGGCACCTCTAAATGGTTTTTGCATAAGAGACGTTCAGCCTGGAGTGCCTGCCTTGTAAGGGCATTGTGGAGACTTGAGATGACGCCAACAAAAACGTATGATATGGAATGAACGTGTTGTGGGTAGTTGTAAAATGGTGTTTCTGCCATCAGTGCATGATGGGAGAACAGCAGAGCCTGCAGGAGGTGGCAGGTGGATGGCAGAGACCCTGAGATTCATGCTTATCTGTTTTCTCCTGTGTTGCTTTCTCCATCAGTACTGATCCTGCAGAAAGTGGAGAATGGAGACCTGAGTAACAAGATCCTGAAGATCACTGACTTTGGGCTGGCTCGGGAATGGCACCGGACCACCAAGATGAGTGCGGCAGGGACATATGCTTGGATGGCACCTGAAGTCATCCGTGCTTCCATGTTTTCCAAAGGCAGTGATGTGTGGAGGTAAGATCCAGAGGCGCAGCTCCCGAGCTCCCACGTCTGTTTGTCCTGCACATTTCAGGACTTGGGATTGGGGTTGCATCAGCCCAAGGCACCCCACGTTGGTCTGTGTGACCTCTCAGAGTGATCTGTACTGATCTGTGAAAATTACCTCATCTCTGCAGGTACTTCACGTGGTAAGTAACACCTCAGGATAGGTCAGCAGATTCCAGGGGCAGCATGCACCTCTGTCTTTGACCTCTAGGATGAGATGTCACCCTATACCAAGCAGTAGCTTGGCTCAGCCACATACATGACTGGGATCAGGGTAGGTTCTACCTGGTGTCCTTCCTGTAAGCTTCAAAGCCAATGGATACTCTTTGTGCTGTCTTCTTCTTGATACCTTGGAAATTATTCTTTCCATTTATCTAGTTATTGCTTTTTTTTTTTTTTTTAACTCAAGGCTCTGTGTCTTGGACATTTATCTAGAAATGGAAATAGATATATCCTTAGCAGGTCCTAGGAGCTGTGGAGTTATAGACTAGACATGGCCAGCCATCTCTACTAGCAAGAGTCAGTCCAAGAGGTTATAAGGACATTGATCTAAAAAAAAAAAAAAAATCACGTTGCCATTAAGGGAGGGTGAGCTGCGGTAGGGTAGGTAGACTTTGTCCTATCTAAAGAACAGTAGTAACACCTTCACCTGCACAAGGAAAGACTATGGGTTATCAGTGCACCTCAGTCTAGGGCCAGGGCTTCCTGTCATGTGGCAGAGTGAGCACATGTACATGTGTATGTTTCTGTATATGTGTATTCCCTTTAAAGTAACTTCCTTGAGATATCATTCATATTCAAAAAGCACACCCTTTAAAATACGTAGGTCAGTGTTTTTTAGCATTTGTAAAACTGACTTCTGGATTCGATTCTCAGCACCAGAGAACTGGGTGTGGTGGTGTGGATATGTAATCCCAGTACTCTAGAGGTGGAGGCAGAAGGATCAGAGCTCCAGCTAGTCGAGTCCAGCCTGGGATGGTCAAGACCCTATCTCATAAAAGCAAAACCCCCACAGACCCTAAGCAAGCGTAAGTACATGAGTAAACTGATGCCACTCACCACTGTTACTGGCTTCCTACACTGTAGGAGTATGTTTCCACACACCAGATGATGTAAAGCAACAGAGATTTCCCCTTTCATAGCTCTGGAGGCCAGAAGTATGAAATAGGTACAGCAGGACCCCATCCTAAAGACCCTAGAGGAGACCCCAGTATCATCAGGGCCACCATTCGACCCACTCAATCACAGTTTCTAGAAGACTTTTTTAAACCTCAGAGAAAACCCCGTGCCTCCTGCTTGTCATACTTCCTCTCACCTGTTTGCTGTCTTTGGATTAGCCTCCCATTGCCATTTCATGCCAATGGAATCATGGCAATGGTTTAACCTCATGCTTACGAGTCCACCCATGCTGAGCTTCATTAGAAATTCCTTCCTTTTATGGACTTTTAGTATTCCACGATACAGGCAGGCCACGCTTATTCATCTGTTCATTCATTTACGTGATAGAGTGATTTTTTTTTCTCTTTGGGGATATTATTAATAAGACTGCCTTGGACATGGACACACAAATTCTTTTGTGACTATATATTTTCTGCTCACTTGAGCCTTCATATAATTACATATATGTGCAGCTTTTTGAGGGCCTTATAGACTGTTTTGGCCACAGATGCTCCACTTAAATTCAATTGGTCCATTCCATCGACCACTTGGGCTGCTCTTTTAGTTGCCGCCATCTAGCCTGTGAAGCAGTATTTCACAGTAATTTGTTACTTTGTTTGTTTTTCCAGAAAGGGTTTCCCTGTGTAGCCCTGGCTGGCCTGGAACTCAGAGCTCCACCTGCCCATCTCCCAAGTGCTGGGATCATAGGTGTTCACCATCACTGCCTGGCCTTTCACTGTGGTTTTATTTATTTTTTTCCTTTTTTTAATTTAAATTTGAAACAAAGTTGTTTTACATGTCAATCCCAGTTCCCTCACCCTCCCACCCTCCCCTATCACCCCCACCAAACCCTAGCCCATCCCCTTTCTGCTCCCCAGGGAGTGTGAGGCCTTCCATGGGGAGTCTTCAAAGTCTGTCACATCATGTGAAGCAGGGCCCAGGCCCTCCCCCATGTGTCTAGGCTGAGGGAATAATTCTCTATGTGGAATGGGCTCCCAAAGTCCATTCATATACTAGGAATAAATGCTGATCCACTATCAGAGGCCCCATAGACTGCTCAGTCCTCCTAACTAACACTCACATTCAGGGTGTCTGGGTTGGTCTTATGCTGGTTTTCCAGCTATCAGACTGGGGTGGATGAGCTCCCCCTTGATCAGGTCAGCTGATTCTGTGGGTTTCTCCAGCCTGGTCTTGATCCCTTTTCTCATCATTCCATCCTCTCTGCATCTGGATTCCAAGAGTTCAGCTCAGTGTTTAGCTGTGGGTATCTGCTTCTGCTTCCATCAGTTACTAGATGAAGGCTCTAGATGGCATATAAGGTAGTCATCAATCTCATTATCCTGAAAGGGCATTAAAGGTAGCCTCTCCACTATTGCTTAGATTGTTAGTTGGGTTCATCCTTGTAGATCTCTGGGCATTTCCCTAGTGCCAGACTTTTCCTTAAATCTATAATGGCTCCCTCTATTATGGTATCTCTTTTCTTGTTCTCCTCCATTCTATCCTTGCCTCAATCTTCCCGTTCCCTCATGTTCTCTCCCCTCCTTTTCTCCCTTTTCTTTCTCTTAACTCCCTCTTCCTTCCCTCCATGCTCCCAATTTGCTTAGGAGATCTTGTCCCTTTCCCCTTCTCTGGGGGACCATGTATGTCTCTCTGAGGTTCCTCCTTTTGCCTAGCTTTTCTGGTGGTGTGAATTGTAGGCTGGTAATCTTTTGCTCTATGTCTAAAATCCATGTATGAGTGAGTACATACTGTGTTTGTCTTTTTGTGACTGGGTTACCTCAATCAGGATGGTTTCTTCTAGTTCCATCCATTTCCCTGTGAATTTCAGGATTCCATTGTGTTTTTCAGCTGAGTTAGTACTATGAACGTAGTTGAACAGATGTCCTTGTTGTATGAATGTGCATCTTTTGGGTATTTGCCTAAGAGTGGAATAACTGCATCTTGAGGTAGACTGATTCCCATTTTCCTGAGGAACCGCCATACTGATCTCCAAAGTGACTGTACGAGTTTGCACTCCCACCAGCAGTGGAGGAGTGTTCCCCTTTTCCCCATCCTCTCCAGCATAAACTGTCTTTGGTGTTTTTGATTTTATCCATTCTGACGGGAGTAAGATGGTATCTCAGAGTTGTTTTGATTTGTATTTCTCTGATGGCTAAGGATATTGAGCACTTTCTTAGGTGTCTTTCAGCCATTTTAGATCCCTCCATTGAGAATTTTCTATTTAATTCTGTCACCCACTTTTTAATGGGATTATTTGGTGTTTTGATAACTAGCTTCTTGAGTTCTTTGTATATTTTGGAGATCATCTCTCTGTGAGATGTGGGGTTGGTGAAGATCTTTTCCCATTCTGTGGTCTGCCGTTTTGTCTCATTGACTGTGTCCTTTGTCTTATAGAAGCTTCTCAGTTTCAGGAGGTCCCATTTATTAATTGTAGATCTCAGTGTCTGTGCTACTGGTGTTATGTTAAGGAAGCAGTCTCCTGTACCAATTCGTTCAAGGGTACCTCCCACTTTCTCTTCTAAGAGGTTCAGTGTGGCTGTAGTTTTAATTTTCATTTCCTGAATTTCTGTTGAAGTTGAGTCTCTCTTGTGGTCATTGAGCAATGTGTATCTTCTCAGGAGATGTGTCTGTTCAATTCTTTTGCCAATTCAAAACTGGCTTGCCTTTTGTTATTTTTGAGTTTTAAAATATCTTATTATTGCACATATTCTAATACATGATTTAAAATTTTTTTCCACTTTGATTTTTTTTTTTTAAATAATTTTAGGTAGTATATTTTGAAACCCAAGTCTTCATTAATTTTTCTTCTCTCCTGACTTTCTGTGTCATCCTAAGAAAGTATCGCCTCAGCCAAGGCTGTGAAGATTCTTAGCTCTGTTTTCTTCTAAGAATTTTATAACCTTGGTTTTTAACACTGTGTTTCTGACCCATACTGACTGGATTTTCATGTGGTATGAGGTGGAGGCCAAACTTTATATTGTCGTATCTACTCACTTGTGTCGTGATCACACACTGAAGAGATTATTCCCTTCCCATTGGAACACTCTTGCCATCTCTGTCAGAAACACCTCATGAGAAATGTGAAGGTTTGTTCCTGGGTTCACAGTTCTCTGTTAATGTATCAGTGTCTGTGCATAAACCAGCATCACCCTTTCTTGATTAATATGCAGCTTTGCAGTAAGTTTTGAAGTTAGGATATAAGAGTCTTCCAATTTTTCCTTTTCAAAATTGTTTTGGTCATTCTGAGTCCACTAAATTCTTTATGAATCTTAGCATATTTTGTTAATTTTGCAAAATAAGCAACTGGAATTTCTTCTTATTACTTTACTTATTACTTTAAAGACTAGTTTTAGATAGCTCAGGCTGGCTTCAGATTAGTTATGTAGGCAAGGATGCTCTTGAATTCCCGATCCAGAGGAATTGTGTTTAATCTGTGAATTATTTGGGGGACTATGGGCATCATAGAAATAGTGTTTTTCAGTCCATAAATGTGAGACTTTCTGATTAGTTTCTTTCAGAGTTATTTTGTACTCTGTACGTCCTTTCTCATCTCGTTGTTTGTTAGGTACAGAGTGAAATACCTACTTGCGAGTACGTTTTCCTCCCTGTGAAATGTTTGACCTGACAATAGGCAGCTGCTCTAGATCTCTAAGAACGGCAGTCCTATTGTGGCTTAGCACTTGCACACTGGTGAGACTGATACTAATTAGGCCTCGTTGATGTATTAATTAACCCTTATTACAAGGAGACCCATTGATATGGAAGCTTACATAAGACAACTGTATTTCTGCTTCAAGGAGTTCAGGCAGCCC